CCTAATGATGATTTTAACAGCCTCCCTCAAGCTGGAGTTTTATTAATTAACTCCTAGCTTGTCCTTTAGAAAGAGAAATCTGGAATGGGAGAGAGGTTTGGTGAGTAAGTCGGCAGTTTGATCAAATGAAGGAATGTATTGGATCTTCAATTTTCCTTTAAGAACTTTGTCTCTTACAAAGTGTATGTCAAGTTCAATGTGCTTAGTTCGAGCATGGTAAACAGGATTTGAAGCTAGTGCACTGGCACTCAAATTATCACACCATAGAGTAGGACATGAAACGGGTTGCAGTTTGATTTCTTTAATAAGTGACTCTATCCAACTAATTTCAGCTGAAGCCTATGCAAGTGCTCTATATTCTAACTCAGCACTTGATCTAGCAACTACTTGTTGTTTCTTAGAGGACCAGGCAACCAAGGTGTCACCAACATAGATGCAATACCCAGTTGTAGACCTCCTGTCATCCGGGCAAGAAGCCTAATCAGCATCTGCAAAACCTGTGATGTTTAAGTCATTACTTCTTTGAATCCATAGACCTTGTTTCATGGTTCCTTTGAGATATCTGAATACTCTCTTGGCTGCCTTCCAATGAATGTCTAAAGGTGTTTGAAGAAATTAGCTTAATTTGTTAACTGCAAAACTGATATCTGGTCGTGTGTAGGCAAGGTATTGAAGGCCACCAATGGCACTTCTGTATAGTGAGGGATCAGCCATCTTCTCACCTTTATTTTTGGAAATGCATTTGCCTGTTGCCATGGGTATTACACATGGTTTTAGGTGTTCAAGATTGAACCTCTTCAGCAGGTCCTGGATGTATTTGAGCTGCGTGAGAGGCATTCCTGTTTTAAACCTCGTTACCTTAATTCCCAAAAATTGATGTAATTCACCCAGGTCTTTTAGGGCAAACTGTGAGTGTAGCTTGTTGATGAAACATTGCAGTACCTTCTGATCATTTCCAGTGATCACAATATCGTCAACGTAAACCAAACAGAAGATCACATGCTCTTTACTTAAGAAAAAGAAGAGTGAATTGTCAGCCTTTGATTTGATGAACTTCCAGTCTAGCAGAGTCTCTTTCAGCTTTTCATACCATGCTCTTGGGGCTTGCTTAAGTCCATATAGAGCTTTTTCAAGTCTGCAAACTAATGTTGGATTTTCTTTATCAATGAACCCCTTAGGCTGTTTCATAAAAACTTCCTCATTTAGCTTTCCATTAAAGAAGGCATTGTTAATGTCAACCTTCCTAATGCTCCATTCTTTAGACACGGCTAGTGTGAGTATTATCCCTGCGGTAGAGGCCTTAATTATTGGGCTAAAGGTCTCATGATAATCTAAACCAAAAGTTTGTAGAAAACCTTTTGCAACTAGCCTTGCCTTGTGTTTTAAAACGTTTCCTTCAATGTCTCTTTTGAGCCTGAAAACCCATTTGTTACCTATGACCTTTTGATTTGTCATAGGTTGTACTAGCCTCCAGGTCTCATTTCTCATAAGTGCTTTATACTCTTCTTCCATGGCCTCTTTCCAGGTTTTATCAGATAGGGCTTCAAAAACATCAGATGGTTCAGACTTGCTTAGATCATTTTTGGAATTCTTGCAAAGTGCAGAGTAAACTTTTGGTTTGAAGATGCTTGCTCTACTTCTGGTAATCATAGGATGCTCAATTTGCTGCCTTTGAGTCTCAACTTGTTCCTGACTTGTTTGATCATTTGACTCAGTTTGTGCATTCTCAGTACCTTCAGTTACATTACAGGGATCTCCATTTTCCACTGCTTCTGGAAACTCATTTTCAATATCTTCTGCTGGATTTGAACTGTGAGAAGTTACTGGTTGGGTAGAACTGGGATGAATCACATCAGATGATCCTGCAAGACTGAAGTCAGAAGGGATATTGAGTGGAAAATATTGGATGGTAGTTTCAAAGGTGTAGCTGTTTTTGTTAAAGAAACCATGCTGAAATGAAAATTCATTCTCATTGAACACAACGTGCCAAGATAGATATACCTTTCCAGTAGGACTAAGGCATTATAGCCTTTGTGAGAGTTGCTGAAACGAAGGAAAACACACTTAATGGAATGAAAACTAAACTTGAGGGGTTGATATGGTCTTAGACAGGGACAACATGCACATCCGAAGACTTTGAGTGATTCGTAATTGATCTCTTCATTGTTCAGAACTTGACTGGGTGACTTCATTTTCAGAATAGGAGTAGGAAGCTTGTTAATGAGATAAGTGGCTGTATGAAACGCCTTCCCCCAGTAATACAGGGGCATGTTTGCTTGGGCAAGAAGTGTTAAGCCTGTTTCAGTCATGTGACGATGCTTTCTTTCTACTTTTCCATTTTGAGAGGAGGTATAGGGACAGGAAAATCTCATGTAAATTCCTGATTGAGGAGCAAGTTTAGTAAAGGCTCTAAACTCACCTCCCCAATCAGATTGGAGAGTTTTGATTTTTCTACTGAATTTGTTTTCAACTAAGTTTTTGAATTGGATAAAGGAGTTAAGTGCTTCAGATTTAGTTTTCAAAGGGTATATCCATGTAAATCTGCTGAAATCATCTATGAATAAAATGTAGTATTTAAAACCTGATGTTGATTGCAATGGGACTGGACCCCAGAGATCTGTGTGGACCAAATCGAGAGGTGCTAAAGAGAAAGAAGTCGAGAGTTTAAAGGGTAATGAGTGAGCTTTGCCAAACTGACAGGCATCACAAAACGGATGAACTTCATTAAATTCAACATTTTCATTACATAGTTTGAACACTTGGGACATTACAGAGATAGAGGGATGTCCTAGTCTTAAGTACCATAACTTTAATTTAGACAGAGACTCTGTGAGACCTTTCGATTGAGCAACAAAAGTGGAAGAACTAAAGCTATTTGAGTAATCAGGTTTTGAGGCAGGAAACTGAGTGACTTCATCTGACAGTTTGATTTGATACAATCCATCCTTAATTTTCCCTTCCAGCAGCACCTCCTTCGTTCTTTTGTCCTTAACAGCACAAGAGTCAGAATAAAATTTCATGAAAACTCTATTATCAGAGGTTAATTGCGACACACTTAATAAGTTTTTCTTGATTGAAGGAACTACCAACACATTGTTAAGAGCAAGTGATTTATTGTTTCGTGCATTGAGGTGATTTGTGCCGATATGAGAAATGGAAAGTTTGTTACCATTTCCAACAGCAAGTTTTTGCTTACCACCATATTCCAGAGCTTCAATCAGATTTCCCTTTTTAGTTGTGACATGATTTGTAGCTCCTGAGTCTGCATACCATGCTGGATCAGTCACTGTCCTAGAAGAAGCCAGCAAAGCAGTTGATTCTGGAGAATTGTTCTGGTAGTGGTACTCTGGTTTAGCACCCATGTATCTTTCATCATAGCGATTAAGGCACCTGGCTGCAGAGTGATTATTCATGCCACAGATTTGGTAAGTGTTTCCGTTGGCAAAAAATCTACCTCATCTGCCTCTGCTTCTATTTCCTCTGTAGTTGTTCCTTCCACCATAATTGAATCTTCTTTCTTTGGGATTGTTTGGGTTGTGAATAAAATTGACTGAGGCTTCACTTAAGTTCACTGATGCCAGACTATTTTTCAAAGTGCCGAGGTGCTCGATTCTACTTTCATAAGTCATCAGTATTGATTGTAATTCATGCCAAGTGATTGATTCCCTGCTGTTGATTTGGACTACAATGGGAGTATTTTCATCATCCAATCCAGCCAGCACTTGAGTCACAAGATCGTTGTGAGGAATGATCTTCCTAGCAATTTCCAGGTTGTCCACAAGTTGCTTGATGGTATTAAGGTATTTGTCAATGCTCATAGTTTCTTTTCTGGTTCTCTGAAGTTCACTAACCAGAAAGATAACCCTTGATCTGTTCATGGCTCCAAAACTCTCTAGCATAGCATTCCAGAGATCTGAGGACTTTGATGATCCCATAACTCTCATTGCAATTTCCTGTATCATTGAAGAATACAACCAACCCATCAGTAGTTGATCTGTCGACACCCATTTTCCAAACTCAGGATTAGGCGCCATCTCCACTGTTACTCCGGTTGAACCAGTAGTCTGAATTGTAAGAAACTCAGCAGGGCATCTTCTGGTTCCTATGATGAATCCTTCAAGATTGTGGCCTTTGATGATTGGCATTACCATGTTTTTCTAGAGTAAAAAATTGTTTCTATCCAGCTTGACAGATGGAACTTGAGTTAGAGTAATCCCAGGTGTGTACAACTGATTTCCTCCTAACATTGAAGGCATCAAGGTGCTGGAGGTGGGCTGGGCAGACTGAGTGTTGTCGTTTGATCTGGTGTTAGCCATTTGGCTCTGATACCAAGTTAAAAATCAGAAATGAAGATAAAATTTACAGCAAGATGATCAAGACAAAATAGTATTTCACTTGATAATTTACAAGGTTACAATGCTGTAATATATACAAGGAAATTGGAGTAATGAGCAAGTAAAATCTTGTGAAAAATGACATGTGAATCAATGTGGTTATAACAGAATATTGTGGTCCCAAGAGATGAGTCACTATCAAGCTGGTGGTGCACTGCTAACTGTATTGAGCTTATGCTAATAGAAGGGAATCTTGATTAGGGAATAAGTATCACCTAATGATGATTTTAACAATTACCCCAAGAAGAAGTCCAACCTGCTATCATCTCTCGAGAGAATAGTTCAATGCAGCGAGCAGGCATAAGCCCTGGCATATACTCCATCAGCAAATCTACGTGCTGAGGAATATAAATGAAAGAATCAATTTCCCATTACAAACTATTAAAAGGAAATCAATACAACTAATACTCAAGGTTGACAATGATTTACTGAATATGGAGTAACCATAGACAAGGACTCACAATTTGAAGAGGAAATACAAGTGGGAAGAACAATGAGGTGAAAAGAACTTAAAGGCAAAAATATTAAAATTTTGGTTGACAGTGCAAGGACTACCTCTAGTGGGGGGCTTCCTTGAATAATCTCCAGGAACTGATGAAGACTTGATTATCTGTTATATGGTTCAGTCTTAGCAGATGCTCGGAATTCATATCCCGCACGAAGAACAGAAAGAGATAAAAGGTGGCATCTAAAGAAGGAAGACCGGTTCCGGTGGTTAGATAAACTCACCTCCCATGACAATAACCAAGGAGAACACATTCTTATGGCCTGTGATGAAAGAGATCCAGTTCACTAATCAACGCAATCTGCTTTCACCTGTGACATTCAATTAATTAGATTTTTAGACTCGATAGCAGAAAGTTTTGAATTTTGTCAATATCCAAAGTTAGTTGGAACACCTTCAGCCAGTAAAATGTAGCAGCATATTTTTGACACCCCATTTAGGAAATAGTTCAATCTCCCTGAAGCCCCGCAGTTTCTCCCTGTTGGTTACCCATAAGGCTACCAGATATCCAGCTGTATAGGTAAATTGCTCAATGGGAAGAGATAAGAAGTATATATTAGGCAAAGCAAGACAAGGGTTCAGCTTCCAAAACGTGTAATTTTAAAGAACTTCAAAAATACGATAAAATATTTTTCCATCCAAAAAGTATAAAGAATTTATGATATCAATGGTCCAACAAATTAAACCGTACATAAATTTGTTAAAAGAATGGGCAATCAGTACATAAATAGTGTGAATATTTCCTGAAGATCAAGTTTCTAAAAGGAATTTGGTCTCTTTTCGCAAAAGAACTCGTCAATGGTGGGTCTCTGTCAATTAGATTCTATCGAGGAATTTTTTTATTAACTGGAATTATTTACACGTTTCATTATTGTTGTGAAATAAATTTCAAAAAACCTACAGCTGGACGCCTGCACAAATATTTTATTTATAGGATTGTTGCACGAGTAGTTAAACAGAAACATTCTCATGCTTCAGATCTAGACAAGTAAATTAGATCAATAATGTGAACATACTTCAGTTTCTGATGTGAGATGCTATTCTCCAAGAATAATGCTACTTTGCCTGAAAAATTTGGCCAGATGCAGTGACAAAAGACACCATGGTGGGTGGTTATGGGATCAGAAAGCTGATTTTGTTTAAAACAATTCAATGATAAAATGTCATGTGACATTATATTGATCAATGTCAAACTTTCTGTTCATGTAGCATGATTGATTCTCCCATGTTGGATCGATAACTATGAGATTGAAGCCATGGTCAGATTCAGATCACATAAAACAGTGGAAAACTCTTATCCATTTAGGAGTGTGTTTGATAGAGATTTTTGGGGGAAGAATTGATTTTTAAATAGTGATATGATGGGAAATGTGGTTGAAAAAGAAGAAAAAAGTATTGATGTGATGGAAAATATTATTTTATTGAAGAATGTGTGGTTGAAAATGAGAATTTATTTACTGTAGAAAATGAGAATTTGTACCAAATAGGCTCTAGGTATATATATATAGCTTGTTATACGGAAAGAAAAAAAAATATGAAAGAGCATTCGGAATGTACAAATCTGCTAGGGCTGGTTGTTTAGAATCAAAGCAACCAATATCTTTAATCATGTAATAATTACATCCTTACCTGCACATACTGCAAATGGTCCTACAATTGAAAAGGCAAAACTATGTCATGAGAAAGGTTCACTAAGCCAGTTTCCCAAGAGAAAACCAATAAAACATAATATATCTAGTATCGATGTACAACAGATTATTAACACCTTATGTACGTTAAGTGTTTGCTCATTTCCTAACCTGTCGTGCCTTAGACATACAAAGTTTACATATTTCTTTACAAGATTTCAAATGAAAATTTGAGTAAGTTCAAAGATTACCAAGAATCAAGTTGTGAATCTTCCCTAGATCAAACTTCCACACAATAAGGAAAAAGGCATAGAGAATGTTAGATGCAACCAACACTGAAGACATGCAATTACCCAAGAAAGTTAAGTTCTCAAAGACGATGATCAGACTAGGATTTGATTGCATGTTTAAATGAAAGAAAAGAACTATTAGAACTACAGAATAATAAAGGAAAGAATAAAAAACTACTAGAAGTATTGAATAGTAACATAATTATAAAGAACACATTGCAAGAAATCAAGCCATTTTATCTATACTACACCGACATTTGAACTAACTATCACCTAGAGGAGTTTTAGTCTCATACCATGTAAAAACAAGTTTTCTTTGGTACAATATATCTGTGGTTCAAAAATTCAGCCTCCACCTCGCTGCTCCCCTCATTGGTGACTAGGTTGTTAAATACTGGAACAACTCTTGGTAGAATTGACAAGGTTGGAAACCTGGAAAACCATAAGGAAACTTAAGGTCGTTGTAGCCTATGAAACTGAAAGATGGATACTTCATTATGCGACACTGCAACAATTTGACTTTTTTTTTGACACAGGATGACATGAAGCATCCCATAAAGGCAGCTTGCACAACACATTCAAAAATCATAAAATTGCTAAATATCAATCCATGTTTCCAAATGTATAGTATAAGCATAATTCTAGTCATTATCAGGCACGGGTGGGAGGTGTAAATATCATCAATTGCTTTTAAATTACAAAGGCAAGCATGCTTATCAACTTTAGTGGTTCATTACACTAATATTAGTATCTAGAACAACGGTGTGATATTACATTGCATATGTAATGGTGCACCAATAACACTATCATGTCTGGTCAGTCTTGTAGAGTCTATCTAATGTTGTAAGGTTATGTGTTATTTGTCATTATAATTGGAACGAGCATCTAGGCAAAAGATAAATTCTATCCAGATACACCATTAGCGAAAAGGTTTCAAGACGTGCTATATTTTCACAATCACAAAGTTATCAAATTACAGCTTGCAGCACAACCAATTTTTAGGCAAAACACCCATCATGTTAACCAACAACCACATCACTACAAAACTTAAATTACTATGTATAGTTGCATCCAACTCGACATGGCTCTTGACATAAGATTTCATTTGCTTAATACTTTGGAAGTGGACACACTCTTTTTGACATATGAACTAAGTCCTAACAACTAAGCACAACCACAATTTGTGAATGTGCATCCATCATCAATCACCAAATTTTTGTGGACAGTGTCTGTGAATCCTAATATCTTTGGAGCACCCAGATACTAGCATACTGTTTTTTATCGTCTATATTTGTTGTAGCTCAAAAGTAGGACCTAGTGCAAAGTTGTGCCAAGTAGATCTTCTTCACTACGGTGGATGGTTGGATTAAGATCTACATATGCATCAATGAGATAATTTTTTGTGGACTGTCTATGAATCCTAATATCTATCGAGTACTTTGATATTGGCATACTATTTTTTCTCTCTAGAGTTGTGGTGGCTCAATGGTAGGACCTAGTGTAAAGTAGTGCCAAGTAGATCTTCTTGATTATGGTTGATGGTTCGATGAAGGTCTACAATATGCATCCATGAGCCATCACCAAATAAGATAAAAAGAAACAGCATATCCAGAAATGGATGCTGTCAAATAATTACATGACCATAATTGGGTGCAACTTTTCCATCTATGAAGGCTAGAAGAGTCACATTTTTCTTTCTTCTTAATTCACAAACTTCATTCCTTAAACATAATATATGGTCACATTCATACTGTACAAATACAGTTAAGTTAGATGATTGTATTAATTTTTAGATATCATGCAAGATGAAGTATTAGAGTGTTGTATGCAACGGAAAAAAGAATTACAAGGCAATTTGGTTATGTCTGAAAAAATAAAACAGTAAATACGATATCAGATGGTGTAAACAACTTTAACTCATTCATACTTGATACTTCTACATATAATATAGCTAAAAACAAAGATATAAATACTTATTTACCTTCATGCTAAGCATACAAGAATGTCATAAGATCCAAACGATATAAAATGCATAAAAATTTCTTATCACTGGAAACACTCTTACTCTGCTTCGAAAAAAAATCAAAATAGGAGATAACAATTAAAGTAAACTGTTATCTTGATATATTATGAGTCGGACAAAGAGACTGGAAGTTCCGAAGAAATAAATAGCATAGATCTCAAAGCGAACCTGCATTTTTTTTCCATGGTGTCATCCTGATGAAAACTAAGAGTGATCTCATAATGTGTCGCTTGCCAAACACTCCCTAACTCCACAAAATCGAGCTCACTATCTTGTGAAATCACATTGTTCTCACATTTCTCTTCATCACAACCATCATTCTTCAAATTCTTCAAAATTTTCAAAAGCTTACTTGCTTCAAGCAAAGCCTCATGCGCCTTCAATAACATTGACTTTGTCTCCTTCGACCACATTAAAAAAACATTACTGTGTATTTGTGTTACTATACATTTGACAAGTAGAATGCATTTTTTGAACCCTCCTTCCATAAGAAAATGTATTTTTATCTAAATGTAATTATATTCCGCATGTTATTGCAAAATATTACATGCTAATTCCTGGGCATTACTTGTGGCATCATATACATAGTACACAAGAACAACCTAAGCTTTATTCCGATAATAGAGCATACATTTTTCTTGTTGCTACCCATAAAATGCTATTTTAAATTACTAGTATTCTAATGTTCATATTTGTTAGGGAAAAAAGTAAAATTTGAAATTTTATGTTCAATAAAAACAAGTAAGTTTGTTATGTCAAGTATGCCGTCAATCTCTTCATCGGAACTTGAAAGAATATCATTTGATACATAAAACGTACGCTTGTGCAAGTATATATGTTACGAACTCTCAAATATAAGTAAAGAAATCTGGTACTTCAAGGGATCAGTGCCTCCAATATACGATAAAGCCAAAGGAAAATTCTGATGCTTCATTGATAAAGTAAAAGGACTTTAAATACAACTCAAATAATAACTAACCAACAAAAAAATCTGGACCTACTACAATCTTGTTTACCCACTAATTGGACACCACTAACCCCATTAAATAAAATAACAACCTAAGCTAAGGACTTGGTCAAAAGAAGACTAAAAAGTAACATGAATTGAATGTACTGGAATTGGACTTCACGTGATGACAATTGGATTAAATGGACGGTAACATGACAGACTCCCCCTCTTCGAGGACCTTGTCCCCAAGGGCCCCAAATTTGTTGCAGAAATCCCCAATATTCTCCCAGGTCACCTCTTCGTCACTCATACCAGACCATTTCACCAAAATTTCTGTGGTAGCTCGCCGTCCTTGTTTCTTAGGTCTTCGATCTAGTATCTTTTCTGGCTCAGGGAATAGAGAACCACCATGTTGACTGGTGAGAGCTTCGGCTACAGGGTAGAAGAGGAACCCAGTTTTTTCTTCAGGGAAGAAACATGGAAAACAGGGTGGATCTTTGATTCGGTGGTAGTCTCAAGCAATAGGCAACCTTTCCAACTTTTTCTTCGATCATGAAGGGTTCATGGTAGCGGGGAACAAGTTTCTAGTTCCTCTGGGCAGCAACTGAGAGTTGACGGTATGGTTTTAACGGTAGATAAACCCAATCGCCAATGGTAAATTCCCTCTCCGTCCGATTTAAATTTGCAAATTTTTTCATCTTTTCCTGTGCTTCCCGTAGGTTGTCCTTCAAGATTTTGAGAGTGGCTTCCCTGTCCTTCAACACATCTTCAACAGCCTGAACTTTAGTTGTTCCCGAGGTATATTGAAGTAGACGAGGAGGCTGATAGTCGTAGATAGCTTCAAATGGTATTGTTTTGGTTGAGGCATGCTCATTGGAATTATACCAATATTCAGCAAGAGAAAGCCAATTGCTCCAAGCTTTGGGTTTGTCCCCAGAGAATCTGCGAAGGTACCCCTCTAGGCACTGATTGACTATCTCTGTTTGGCCATTCGTTTGCGGATGGTAGGTAGTGCAAGTGTTGAGTTGAGTTTGTAGTAATCGAAAGAGCTCTTTCTAAAAATGAGATATAAAAACGGGATCTCGATCACTTACAATAGATTTAGGGATGCTATGTAATCTGAAGTTGCTGTCAAGAAATAGTCCAACAATAGTAGTGGCAGTGTAGGGATGGCTGAGTGCAATAAAGTGAGTACACTTAGTCAAACGGTCGACTACCACCATGATGACATTTTTGTTATGGGATTGAGGCAAACCTTCAATGAAATCCATGCTAATGTCAGTCCATGGTCTTTCGGGAATGGGTAGAGGCTAGAGTAGTCCTACGGGGTGGTTGTGTTCACTTTTGCTTTGCTGGCAGATCTCACATTCTCGTACATGATGCCTGACTGCAACTTTTAATGCAGGCCAGTAAAAATTCTTTGTGACCCGAGCTAAGGTTTTGTGATAACCTGAATGTCCTGCTAACGGGTGATTGTGCATCTCTTGTAGGGCAAACTGCTGAAGCTCTTGACTAATGCCTAGATGGATTCTGCCTTTGTAGAGTACTATGCCTTGTCATAGTTGGAACTTATGATCTGAGAGGGTGCCATCCTGGGGCTGCCTAAGAAGTCTTTGGAGAAGCTCATCTGCTGGGTTAGCCTTCTTTACTCTGTCGATCCAAGGCGTTTCCAACTGTGTGAGAGTTACTACATTGATTGTACGCTCCACATTCCCCACCCTGGACAAGGCATCTGCAACTTTGTTCTTACACCCAGCTTTGTATTCTACTGTAAACTCATAGCCTATCGGCTTTGAGATCCATTTCTGCTATGTTGGGGTACCAATTCTCTGCTCGACCAAATATTTAAGGGCCTGTTGGTCTATGCGAATCTTAAACTTCTGCCCCAATAAATAGGCCCTCCATTTTTTTACTGCCATGATAAGAGCAAGGTGCTTCTTTTCATAAGTAGATAAATGTAGGTTCCTTCCCTTGAGTCCTTGACTTAGATAGGCTAAAGGCTTTCCTTCTTGCATTAGTACCAGTCCAATGCCATCTCCCGACGCATCACATTCAATAATGAATGAGAAATTTGGGAGTCCCAAAATCGAGGGAGTAGTCATAACCTTTTTTAGTTGGTGGAAGACATCTGTGGCCTTTAGATTCCATTGAAAGGCATCCTTCCGAAGTAGTGCAGTAAGGGGGGCTACTATGCTCCCGTAATTTTTAATGAATTTGGGGTAGTAACTTGTAAGGCCCAAAAAACCTCTTAGAGCCTTAAGTGAAGCAGGTAAAGGCCACTGCAAAATACTAGAAATCTTGTTGGGATCTGCTTGGACCCCACTCGAGGAGATGATGTGTCCCAAGTACTCTATTTCCGAACATCCAAACCTGCATTTTGACATCTTTGCATACAATTGGTGTTGTTGGAGTAGCTTCAATACAATTGTCAGGTGTAAAATATGGTCATCCTAGCACTTACTAAAGATTAAAATATCATTAAAAAATACAAGAACGAATATCATTCATAAGCCCTTGGAAGGTGGACAGGGCATAAGGCCAAAAGGCATTACTAAAAATTCATAGTGGCCTTGGTGGGTTTGGAAGGCTGTTTTTGGGATATCATGAGGCTCTACACGAATTTGATGGTACCCCGATCGTAAATCAAGCTTAGAAACTATTGAGGCCCCTCCCAATTCATCTAAGAGTTCGTCAATGATAGGAATTGGATACTTATCTTTAATGGTGGCTTGATTGAGAGCCCGATAGTCAATACACATTCGCCAACTGCCATCTGCTTTGCGCACCAATAATACGGGGGAAGAATAAGGGCTTTGGCTAGGTCGCATGACTCCATTTTTTAGCAACTCATCAACTATTCTTTCAATTTCTTCCTTTTGATAGTAAGGATAGTGGTAGGGCCGAACGCTGATTGGTTTAGTGTCGTCCATGAGAGGAATCTTATGATCATGACTTCGGCGTGGGAGGAGCCCTTTTGGCTCTTAAAAAACTGAGTGAAATTGCTTTAATAGTGGCTGAATCTTTTCAGGAACAATAGCTGATGAGTCCTCATTTGAAACTTCCATTAACTGTAGCACTAATCCTTTGAGGGTCCCCTTTGTCGGCATGTAAAAATTTTCTGCATCTTCCATAGTTAAATCTGAAGGGCAAAGCCCTTGAAGCTGCATCCTTTTTCCGCACCAAGTAAATTTCATTATAAGCCTGGAGAAATCCCAAAGAGTGGGACCTAGGTGGAAAAGCCAATCCACCCCAAGAACCATATTGCATCCCACTAAGGGCAGCAAATATAAATTAGCAAAATGGTAGTTACCTTCAAGATGAAATGGAACTATGTCACAATAGCCTAAGCAAGGTAACCGATCCCCATTAGCTACCATGACAATAAGGTTGTTGCTTTTTCTAACACCTAGATTGGTTTTCTTGGCAATGCTAGGGTCGATGAAGCTATGAGTACTTCCGGAGTCAATTAAACCAACCATATTTTTGTGTTTTAATACACCCCATAGTCGCATGGTTCGAGAAGTGGGAGTGGCTGAAATTGCATGTAGTGATATACCAAGTAATGCTCCTTCCTAATCTGTGTTTTGCTCTTCTCTAATTACAGGTTCTTTACTGACATCTTCAAAAATGTCCTCCTCAGTTTCAGCCTCCAACCCTTCCAAAAGGAATAGCTCGGGAGTTCTACACCAGTGTCCTAAAGCCCATTTATCATCACAGTAGTAACAAAGACCACGATCCCTTCTTTCCTTCATCTGTGCGGAGGTAATACGATGTATAGGAAGGTTTGCTTTATTGGGTTGGTCCCTGTTTGGTCGAGGGGGGTAGTAAGGAGGTGGGGGTCCTAATAGCCAAGTGGGGTTAGGAGCTGGAAGTCTAGGAAAGTTGTTTTTGGGAGGAATTTAGTTGATTGGAACTGGCTGAAAGGAGCTTGGATTTTTCTGATTTTTGAACCTGCGCCATACTTCTTCTTCATATGGTCGGGCTAGACCAAAAGCTATAGGGAGGGTAGTTGGTCTAAACATAGTGACCATGATCCGAATATCATCGCGTAGCCCACTAAGAAAAGTACTGATTCGAAACTCCTCCGAAAGTCCCGGGATACGATTGGATAGTACCTCAAAATCAGTTTGGTATTCCTCCACAGTGGATGTTTGCCTTAACTTTGTAAAATCTGCTACTGGATCATCAAAAGGTGTGGGTGCAAATCGAACTTGTAATGCCTCCACAAATTCGGGCCAAGTGGTGATTGGATGGGAAGCCAATAACCACTGGTACCAAGTAAGGGCCTTAACTTCCATATGGAATGAAGCTAGCTGAATTTTCTGTTTTGGGGAAATCAAGTCTCATGGTTCTGTTGTAGATCCCACTTTGGTGTTCAAAAACTGGGTTAAAATGAGTATCGGGCATTTCAAGATTTTGGCTGTTACTTGGGTTGGAATGGTGAGGGTGGATCTGTTTGTGGGGTATGGAGGCTATGGTATGGGAAAGTGTTGTGTAGTTGTTGGCAAGATTGCCTACCTGCTTGACAAGTTCTTCCAGCAAAGTTTGCTGTCGAGTTTGGGCCTCCTTCATTTCTGTATTTTCATTTTTCAGCTATGTAACCACTTCAGAAAGCTGTGAAAACCAGGTCCCTTCTGCCATGGAACCGACCTGGGCTTTAATACCACTGTTACGAACTCTCAAATATAAGTAAAGAAATCTGGTACTTCAAAGGACCAGTGCCTCCAATATACGATAAAGCCAAAGGAAAATTCTGATGCTTCATTGATAAAGTAGAAGGACTTTAAATACAACTCAAGTAATAACTAACCAACAAATAAATCTGGACCACTACAATCATGTTTACCCACTAACTGGACACCACAAACCCCATTAAATAAAATAACAACCTAAGCTAAGGACTTGGTCAAAAGAAGACTAAAAAGTAACATAAATTGAATATGCTGGAATTGGACTTCACGTGATGACAATTGGATTAAATGGACGGTAACATGACAATATATGTATAGTATGTATCTATACTTGATGTCTTTGATCGGCTATTTGTTCCCGCGAGTTTGAGTTTCAGTTGATTGATTGGTTATGGAATTGAAGAATCGGGGTAATAAGCCGACGGTGAAACCCTATACTGGGTATACGATCGGTTTAAGATTCGAACCGGGTCGATAAACACCGCATTCGAGCATTCGACCCGGTAAATACCGGTTTTGAGGAAAACCGATAGCTGGTCGTAAGGTTCGGAGACTGCCATTCCGGAGGCGTCTATGGGGCGCTTTTCTAGCAAAATAATTCATTTAAAGGGGTTTATTGGTGGCCCATGGATCGCAGCCGAGAGCAGCATAGGATGAGCTTTCTAAGGCCCAATTACGACCAGTATGAAAAACTTTTGTGGGCTAGTTACACACTTATGGAAAAAATAGGGGGTGAATTGAAAATATTATTATTTAGTCAATGTAGTAAAATTACAACATAAACTCTCGCTGAAAAAATAAAATAAATAAAAATATATATATACCAAATTACAGTGTATGTAGTTTTTTGGCAAATTACTGTATATGTAATTTTTTTAAATTATATAAATCTCGTTAAATAGTATGTAATTTTTTGAAACTCTATGTTAATCATGTAACATAGTGTTAATACTTGTCACATTTTATGTGATTTTTTTCAAAATTAAACACTACCCAAAAACATTCCACCTTTCCTCGTTTGTCAGACACTATTCACCACTAAATTTGTTTAAGAGATTATAATGCATTTTGCCGTGTACTCGTACTGTAAACATTTTCTTATGCACTTGACCACAAAGCGAAAAATTCAAATTCTTAACAACCTCATTCTTAGATAACTAAAGTTCACGACCACACTCCTAACCAGCACCATCTTACTCCACCATACGTGTAAAACACAGTTTTACTCACCACCACCACCACCACCACAATCACAACTCCTGAAATTAAGTTTGTCAAAAGAAAATATAAGAAGAATGGTGATAATGAGAATTGATGTCCTAGTGTGCACTCCAAGGCAACACCTATCATTTGAGCAATTTCTTTTTTATCTGGCTCATATTTCATTGACACAATCTATTATGATCAAATTCCAACAACATGGAGTCCAACTATGATCATGCACAACAAATTTCGTGTACAAACAATTCATAAATTATTACAAATTGTATTTCTATGAGTTATAGGGTATTTTGATCGTCTTATGACCACGAGATTGTACGACCCTCTAATTAATTTTCTGAGCGTTTGAAGACAAGGGATCATGTGACTTGAATTCTAGATTTCAAAATTTATTGAAATTTTGATTTGTTGAGAACTTGACATACTTGAAATTTGAACTTGATTTAGACTTTGGGACTTGAATTCGAACTTTCTTTGATTTGGAGAAGACTTTGATATCGTGGACTTGGTTGAGCTTAATTGAATTTGTTGAAGAATTTGATCTTTTTGAAATTTTCCGAAAATGAACTTGAGAGATTTTTTTTCTCTTACTTTTTCTCATGAACTTGTTTCTTGTGCACTTTAACTTCTCACTTTTCAGGGACTTTGGCTCCTAACCACCCAATTATATTTTAAAAAAACTAATTAAATATACTTGTGGGTTTAAAAAGGATAATTCTCCTTTACCAAGGCCATTGTAGCATTGCCCATTTAAAAAGTAGGATGGGCCATAAATTTTAGAGCCTGTTTGGTACAGATTTTCATTTAATCAATTCTCATTTTCAACCACACATTTTTCAATAAAATAATATTTTCCATCACATCAATACTTTTTTCTTCTTTTTCAACCACACATTTTCCATCAAATCACTATTCAAAAATCAATTCTTCCTCCAAAAATCTCTACCAAACACACTCTTAGATCTTAATAGATTAAATGGGCTAATAATTTAAAATTGATTTAGTACGTTTAATTGTTTGATTTTTTTTTTTCATGTCTACGAATGTCCCTTCAAAATTTATTTATTATGAAAAATTGACAAATCTTGAATTTTTCGATTTCAAAATTTTGTTGAGAATTTGTCTTAAGCCCCAGTCTGATGGTTGTTATTAGCCAAAAAATGTTTTGAATAGTGATTTTTAACAGAATATATGGTTAAAAAGTAGATAAATGGGTGATTGAAATGAGTATGTAGAAAAAAGATTTTTCAGATAATAATTGTCAAACATTAGCTAAATTTGAGTTATTGTCTTTAGATTGCGTTTTATTTATTTATTTACAAAGAAAAAGACTGAATGAGTTGAATTTTTTTATTTTGTTTCTTACACATTTGAAATTCACTTTTTTTTTTTTTAAGACAGGTTCATTCACTTTCTATTTTTGTTTTTTTTGTTTTTTTACAATTGATCTTAGAGTTGTACTTTATTTTGGAATTTTTCTTCTGTTTTTATTCTAAAAGTAGAGTTTGAATTGGATTGTACAAGTGGAAGCTGAATTGGCCACAATTTTAATACACAACTCTCTCTGTCTTACTTTTTTGAAAGATATACGTGATATTATCCTTAAAGGTACTTAAAAAAAAAAAAAAGGCTTTACGTAGACTTTTCATTCAACTTTGTGTTTGCACTTCAAAAGAAGAAATGGATGAGGAATTAACAAAATCGAGATTTGAATCTTGTGCGAGAAGCAGGGGGAAGCAAGAAATTTCGAGTTGACTTTTTACTCCATATTCAATTAATTTTAGGGTTGGACAAAATTCTCGAATCGAATCGAATTGAATAGAACCCGAACGAATCGAGCGGTTCTTCTTAAATTAAATACTCGAACGGGTATATGAATCAAGAACCGAGGGATTCAATTCGGTTCCATTCTCGATTCTAGACCCAGAACCAAATCTCACTAATTTTTTTAATTTTTTATTTTAAATAAATCAAATTATTTTATTTTTTTAAAAAAAATTTGCTAATTAATTAATTTAATTCAAACACAAAATATGATTTTATTATTTCTAATTTCCAGTCAAACCCAATTTAATTAAATTGATCTAAGTTTTACCAAAATCTCTTATTCTATCATAGTGTCGTTTCTACTGTTCTATTATTGTGAACTCGCTGTCATCATCTTTCTATAATTTTAATAGTCAAATATATGAAAAACTCAACAAAAAAAGGTGCATAAGATATCATGACATTATACTATGTTATTTTGTAATAGTTAAGATTGAACATGCCATAATCGAATTAATGTAGCATTGTTGTAATATAAAAAAAATTAATTATTGTACCGAATCAAATGGAACCGACCTCGAATGGTTCCATAATTAAAGTTGGATCAGACGGTTTCATTTACTAATTACCCAAAAATTTGAATTTGATTCGATTTTCTTTAGAATCGAGCCGAATCATGCCCAACCCTAATTAATTTTGTATTTATGTACATTTTTTCTCTTTCCTTTTAGCAATGCAAATTTACTCTCTTTGGTGGCAATTTTTTTTTAAAAAATATTGTTTTGAATAGTGAATTTTTGGAAAATCTGTGATTAAGAAAATAGGAATTTTTCTTTATTTATGTGTAAAATATTTTATTGTATGAATGTAGTTAAAAAATGAGTATGTGGAATTAAAAAAAAAAAAAAGAATGATAAACATGGGTTCAACATGCATAGTTTTTCTTTATAGACAACTTCCTTGCTAAGCCCATGATTGGTAGAAATTAAAATCTAAATTTTAATAAAATTTAAAGTCAATAATTAATTTTAACCATATATTTTATGATAAATTCATAACTTTTAAACCACATATTTCATCTACTTTCTCTAAAATCTGATTTGTTTATTTCAACATCAATCCAATCCAATTTTTATATAAAAACTGGAATTAAAGCTGAAATTAATTTATCTTGACATCTGTGTACACACACACACCCACACACACACCCACACACATATATACACACACTCAAAACTTCTTTTCACTATAGATTATCTGCATTAGAAAATTTACTTTTCAGGTTATTTGCATCCACAAAAGGAAATCGTATAGGGTGTTGTACATAATCTCTAATTTGATGAGTGAAATTGTAATGGCCTAAATTTTAGAAGTTTTAATCGCTACCAAAAGTTTCTTTAAAAATTTTGGAGGTTGCCAATACAATTATGTATTTGCAGTTTTACTCAAAGTTACATAGAAATTTTCAAATCTTTCATTTAACTTAACAAGCATATCCCTAAAGGAATATATAACTAATTTACTATGTAATACTTCTTTTATTTATTTATTTTTTATAGATATACATTGAGTAATTAAAATGTAAACAGCAGAGACAACCACATTATCGTTAAATTAATGAAGAATTCATGTATCAACTATTTGATGTATATTATATGTTTCACCAAAAGCATTTCATTGAAATTTAACAGGAAAAACAACTTGCTAAAGGAAAATCTCTATTTTATTCTCTGTGTTAATCCTAACCATGCGATGGCCAAAAAAAATCAATGAACCATTTTACAACTACTTTCGAGTAAAAAGTCTAAATCAATTAGTTAGGTTACATTTCTTATTATACATGATAGAAAATAAAATATCTTAAAGTATTGATTTCAAAGGTTTAACATAACGAACTACATGGTTCCATGTTTCGAATTAAAATATCTAGAAATAGATAACTAAATTAATAAAACTAAAGTTACTACTGGAATAAAAACTTCAGCCACATTACACTGAATTTAATTTATTTAGTCCAAAAATCCAGGCACAACGATGACACTTCATCGCCCGTCAACCAACGACTCTATATAACTTGTGATGAGTAAAGGAAAATGGTAAGTATATCTGAATACTGAATAGCACACGAGTAATTGTGCAATCTTGAATAAAAGTATTAAATCATGTATTAAAAATATCATATCTTTAGAAAATGGTAAGAGCTCATAATATATCATATCTTTTGTACCAGATGGCAATATCATAACATATCATATCATTTCATTAGCATAATATTTATCAACATGAAATAATCTATAATATATATTAAATATCACATCAAGTGAGAATCATTTTTTGACGATTTTGACTATACTATAATTCAATTATTTCAATAATACATTACTTTTCTTTTTTCAATATGTAATAAATATTACAAAATCCTTCTCATGTATTAATTTCGTGTTATTAATTCTCAATTAATTGATATTCACATTAATCTAGATTCAATGAATATTGACTTGATGAATCTTGATTTACGTGAATCTAAAGTTATTATAGATGAATTTATTTCTATTTATGTATTTAGAAATTTTAATGGGTATTTAAATTCATGTATTGACAATTAATTGTTATATATCAAATGTGGTATAAAAATGTTGTTCATTTGTAATATTCCATTATCACAAAAAATTTGAATCATAAAAGTTGAATTTAAAGAGTACAATTTATTCTCTTAAATTTCTATCCTAAATTTTATTTTTTTTAGTTCGTTTGGGATTCAACAAATCTTCCTAACAAATTGGTATTAAATATTATTTTTACAACACAAAGTATTTCATAATATCGTGCATTTCACGTTCAACTCTGACTAGTAAAATTAAACGGGACAAACCACTTGCACCTCATTATCCTACCTTAAATATTTGAAAATCTAAACTTGTGTTCACCAAATGTAGACTTTTATGCCTCTTGAAATCTTCACAAAGCCTTTTAAAAAGAGTTTATTTGTTTGTTTTACTTCTGTAATGTATAAGAGTACTAAATGAAAGAAGGGAAAGGGGATACGTATATAAAGATTTGAAACATGTAGTTTTTTTATAATGGGAGAAAGCGAGAAAGATATTTGACCCTTTTGTTGAATACTAGTTGATGCACGTGCAATGCACGTGTTTGAATATAGTTGGCTATTTAATAGTGTGGAGTGATTATTAGATATCCAATTGCTTTAGATTTATAGTTATATACTTCCTCTCAATCAGAGGACCAATAGAAGGCAATGTCCATATAGCATATACTGAACAGGTATCAGGTGTAGATTTTCCTAAATAGCAGGCAATGTCTATATTTTTAAATGCCCTGATAACAGACGACAAAGAAATATTGAGAAATGTGTTAAAAGAGAAATCAAATAGGTCTTAGACCTCATCAGACACCATATAGGATATATCTTAAAAATGTATGCCTAAATCTGTTATAGTGGATCAACAAAGCTATCTAAGTTTCTAGTTCCCTTCTACTTGTGATCAAGTATATTGTCTCCCATGCGAGTCATGCGACCATTAATCTAGTAGGTTGAACTCTCTGCATGAAACTCAGAAAATTATATTCTAATGAAAAATCTAGTTTATGATACTTCTAAAATAACTAGCTGAGTTTGACAAAGAGGAGACAGATACAATGAAGAATACCTTGCTATTGCACTTCGGCTAAAAGCTCCAAGGACAATGTCGGTTATAAAGTTGTTGCTGATATACTGGACAAGTGCATTTGCAACATCTAAGGAATTGAGAATCACCTCCTTTGCACGAATCTAAATTCATTAAAATCATGGAATTAAGCACAGGTAATCTATCTAAATGGAAAAATTGACAAGTTTCATAGTATGTACTTTATATTCAATATCATCTGGTCTATTTAAAACTTTTTCTTAATACAAATGATCATCCAACCAAGCCAATTCGTATAAATTCGCGATGAGCAATAGAACTCTGCTGCCCTATATTTTACTTGTAATTGGTACACATAAAGTAAGTTTGAAAGGTTCTGGAGTTACCCCCTTTCGAGCACAAAACCCGCTATAGGGAAGAAAGAAGTGTTGTTCAGTTTGAGTTGGCGCTCAACCTTCTTTAGAGACAACATCCTCTGCATTAGACCCAATTCAAATTAGAAAAAAGTCAATAGACTAAACAATAGAAATATTCACTTCAATAAGAGTTAATAAATCACAAAGATTCAAGCCTTAATTAGGTAAAAATTAAAATGACATGGGCACATTAGAATTTAAATCCAATGAGAACAGGATTTTTGAACAGTATATTGAAATGCAAAGGCCTAATTTACCAACCCTAAATCATTATCGATTACATATTGCTTCAAAGAACAAATTGTATAAACTATCCTTGAATCTCTTAACTGGTAACCTTTTAGCCATTATAAATTAATTAGCACCATCAAATGAAATATCAACACATAGATCTTCAAATTAAGAAAGAACGAGATACCTACGGAAATGCAAATTTGGTTGGGTCATAACAAGGACAAGGATACCTGCGGAGGATGGAGTTGTTGAGGAACGACCAGAGGCGGAGGCTGTGAAGTGCCGGAGGCGGAGCAGGGGAGAGGAGGCGGAGGCGGAGGCTTCAGGTGTGAAGAAATGGAGGATGGAGTTGTTTGAGGAACGACCGAACGAGGTATAAATTTTTGGGATTGGGCTGGACCTGGACGCTGGACTTGGGCTGTTGGGTATAATATATTGGTATTTTGGGCTTTTTATCTTGGGCTGGGACTTAGTCTATAACTAAAAAAAAAATTGAGCCCAGAAGTTCAGGGTGGGCCTGTGCCCACCCTGGGCCTTACTGGGCTCCGCCCCTGCTTGTAGGTTAGGAGCTAACGAAGCTAGGAATAAGAAGATAGGGATTATGAATTGCCTCCAAAATGCGAGCTAGCTATGAACAAATGAATACTTTGCTGATGAACTCTGAGATACGAGGACTTATAAATGGTCTCTGGATAAAGTGAGCAATAAGTGAAAAATCACCATCTCGCTGGACAAGGTGACACAGTCACCATAGCTTGTTCGTTGTAAATGGTGAAGTGATGAAGTAGTGGACCAATTGAAGTTGTAAATGACGAAGTAGCAATGCATGGGCCACTTGAAGATATTCATACCAAGGAGATACTCAATGAGCGTATGGTCCCCCAAGTCCAAGCGTGAATATTCATTTAAGACATGTACTTTGATAAGTAGATGAAATTTATGAGCCGAGATGATTAATGCCAAAGTGAATGAGTCTAAATAAACCACAAGCAAATATTCATAAGTGTTTCGCTTTGGATAAACCACAAGCAGACAGACAAAATAACCAAACACTTTCCTGAATAATTCACTTAAAAGTCCAAGTAATGCCCTTTGAAATAATTAAGGATTAAACTCAATAATCAAAAGTAGTTCACTTTTGACTGATTAAGAAGCAACTTAACATAATAATCCAACCACTTCAAAGTTGGTCTAGATAAATAGCAATTTTTCAGTTAGTAATCCAATTAATCCACTTCATACTAGCAAGGAATAACTAAACTTGATAGCCCAAGTGAAAAAATAGGATGTCGCACTGGATACCATTTAACAGTTCACGGATTACCAATTTAACGGCTTTTAAGTTACCGAATGGTTGTTATTTATCTTTTTTTAGTTTTGACCCTATGTGTGGAATTAATCAATCAAAAGCAACAAGTCACTTTTAATTGTTTATAGATAATTAAGTATACAAGTCCAATTATCACATGTTTGAATACCACAATAATAAGGAAAGCAATAATAAACATAGATATGATGACGGAGAAACTCCAAATGGATAAAACTCCGGGACCAAACCAGTTACCTCCATTTGAATAATACGAATTTAAAGTAAGATGCTGCTTAGTCAATTCCATTAGACTTCCCGATCTAGTTCCTGTAACCTCCAAGATCAGTTGAACCCACCATCTCCCAATCTTCTACAATTGTCTCTTCCAAGTGGTATTTAAAGAACGCTTCGTTCTTGTGGTTTTTTTGCGCTTGTAGTCCAACCTCTCTCAACCTCCAAGAAAGCCTTGTTCTTTTACTTTTCCTGCTTTTCCCAAATATGTGCTTTTATGATCTCAAAAAGAAAAGATAGAATCAATGTATGAATATGCTTTTGGCTTTTCAAACAATAATATGAATGTATTTAGAGAATTAGCACAATGAACAACCACCACACAATTTGTACATAGGCTTGGTATTTATAGCGGATGGTAATTAGGTTGAATGGGCCAAAAAAAATACTTCAAAATAGCAAATTAGGATTTTCCAGATCGACTTGTCGCTCGAGCGTGAAGCTGGCGACATGAGAGCAATGCATTGTCGTTCGACAACAGGCGGGCGATACACAATTTGCTTTTGTAGCTCGAGCGCCAACTGGGTGAGAAACTAGCGAAAATGTGGCGTCGTGTTTCTCTTTTTTCATGCTCGAACCCTAGACTTCATAACCCAATTTGTATAAATTGCACCCTAAGTCTTTGAATTTTACAATACGTTACAAATTATTTATTTTGTCCACATAATCACCAACATAAAAACCTTAACAAACTCCTCATTTGGAATTCTATGACAAAACTATACAATAAGTCATGGAAAACTAAAAAAAAAAAATCTAAACTACTCAAGTTTTATCAAACTGATGTCTCTTGCATCCCTTGTTAAACTAGTTTCCTGAAATTCATAAAACACGTGATACTAGAAATAATAAAATCATTAAACACATGATACCAACACTAGCTAGATTAAGATGTAACACTAATGTTAATCCAAATACCAACAAAAACAATAGCATCACAAAAACATCAAAAACTCAAACAACTAGGTAGATATGGTATTGTATGGAATGTAATACAATCAATAAATCTCCCCCCATCAATCTACTTCACCTCAGAAATTTAAATTCTCCCATTTAAAACATTTACTACTTTTAAGTTCTCCTATTCAAAACTTTTACTACTTCACTTTCCCATTTTTTTGTCACAAATGACAAAGGGACCAATGATTAAAATTTTTTAACATTAACATATAATAATTCAAAAATGTTGTTGTTAACATGTACAAGTATAATTAATGTACAGTAACCTTCCCATACACTTAATTCAAGTTAACATGGAGTAAATCGTATGAGTGACTCATATGTGTAAAGTGTGACTAATCTTTTATAAGTATGACTCCAACATTAATTTTGTGAGAAATGACATGCAAAACACTACTGCCAATAAGTGAATTCCTCTACTTATGAAAGTCAAACTATTTAAAGCAGATCAAAATTTATAAAGAAATGCTTATTTTTTATGGATATTTTCTTTTCTCCCCCTAGCTTTAAGCATATTTCATTTTCACATCGTTCAATATTTTAAGCTCATTATTATTTTTCACATCTAAGTGTAGACTCTTCTCTATTAAGCGATTAAAATGACCCATGTAACTAGTTTTAGGCCGATTAACCACGTCAGGTGACCATAAGCACTAGTTTATGAGAAACCACGCAAGTTTAATTGTTCGAGTCAAATAAGCTCCGAAGAAGAATATAAAATATTGAGCTTTTTATTATCAGGGATAAACTTGAGCTTAAGTCTAATAAATAAGGTCAATTCATGTTCAAAGTTACCTTATTAACATATGATTATTATTCTAAATTTCACACACGCGGTAGAGTCCCACTAACAATATCATAGTATGTGCAGTGCAGATAGTACATAAGGACACCAATACTAAGTACTCCGTAATAACCTAAGCCAGCAATAGAAACTATTTTATAGCTCATCGATTAAATTCATGATTGATCACAACAAACAATTTCAAGTATATTATATATTATGTTGTAAAAAATAATTTTCCGCATTTTCTATTTTTCAAATTTTCAAATTTTTTTGTTTTTATTTTAAAGCATGAATGCACCAAATACAAAAAAAAAAAAAAAAAAA